TGACATTTATCTTTTTTTCTGTTGGAGATTGAATGGAGTTGGTGGTAGGGGGTTTGGGGAGGCATGTGAGGGGGTGAGGAACATATGAAGTTGAATTGAAAACTTGATAACAACTACATTGGTCGATGCACCAGGTGGCACTTGTTTCAAATAATCATGCAACGAGCGAATAGTCGGTAGACAGCATCTGGTATTGTGAGGAGATAGCTCTCAAGATTAGTGCTACGCTCTCTGGAGATGTACTGAAGAAACTTCTCTGGGATTTGTTAGGGACAATAACTCCGCAAATTACTTTGAGAAATACTTAGCTGGATGCAGAGTGGATTAATTCTTTACCTTTGTTCAAGTGGTGTTTTGCTGAAGTCGTATCCGTGAAGATATGGAGGGAAAGAAGTTCCCGGGGAATTTCACCGTGAAAATGAGCGAAACTCATTCAATCAATTTATTTACTATTAACTATCACCGTCTTGAGTGCATCATTGTGCCTCGAATGTCAAATGAAAATTTCAAGAAAGTTGCAGTGATTCTTGATAGAAAAAAAAAGAATACTAGATGAATTTTCGCTGAATTGCAAAACTCTGTCTATTTATTATATTTATCCATTAAAAATAAAATTGTGAGCTGAAGTCTTCACAAAATGGAGGCTCGAATTTTGGGCCATATTTGGGTCAGAACGCTACTTCAAAATGATGGATTATTAATTACTAAAATTCCAATTATTGTGATTTGTTTATCAATTCATAAACTTTCCTAATAAAAATTGGAATTTATGAAGGGAGGAAATTGCCCCAGCTGAGCTGGAGGGGGGAATACCCCTTTCGTGAACAAAATTACCCGACAATTTGAATTGCTTCAAAATTTAAATTACTGATTCATTGATTTGAATCCCACAATAATTAATCCCGTTCACGATTAACTAATAATATCGAGAATGCTTAGTGATGCCTTGATGGTCTCGAGGACAAAAGCTCGTTAGCACTCTCGAGGGCAATCGTACCGCCCTCCCTATCTTATAATGGAGAATCCAGGAGAACCATTCTACGAATTAGCAACATGCATTATAATCCCACAGACTGAAGTAGCCACAGGCGTATCTGCTAGGTATAACGAGGATGAATTAAACTTTGTTTTCGTACTAAAACTTTCAGCATTAATCCATTCGCATACTGCTGTATTTCCGTTTTATTTGTAGTATGGATCAAAGAGGAGGCTCCAGGCTTCTATCACTCCACTGGCCATAATCCAATATCTACAAACGAAAATGTTTTGGCCTCTCTCGTCCCACGAAAATACCAAATATATCCAAAATATTTATTTACGTTTGTTCCTGGATTTACACGAAGTTAATACAACTATTCAGTTTGTTGTTATTTCAAGCGATCTATGGCTACTCTCAGGGATTTCCGAGAATCGACTCTCGACCAGTGCAGCCATGATCCAACGGTTATTCTCGCGGTAATGGAGGAACAGTGTTATCGAGTCCTCCACCCATTTCCCCACCCTCCCGCGCTCATCGCGTTCAACGATCCTACCAACTTCTTTTCTCTTTTCTAGATCGAACTATCGAAGTCGCGGGTAAAAAAGATGGAGAGAGACCCATCATCGAACTTGGCTTTCTCCTTGAAGTGCTTAAATGGAAATTGATGTCGGAATCCACTCTAAATAACCCTCGAAATTACGAACAGTGTTGCCAAGTTGGTGATTTTGTCACCAGATCTGGTGTTTCGAGAGGGCTGACTAGTGACGAAAATTCTCTTGTCCACCGGTGACGAATCTGGTGATTTCAAAAATTTCATTGGTGACTGCCAAAGTTGGGTCGTTTACTAAAAATCGGAGTTTTCCCCGGTATATAGTAGAATACTGGCAATTTACCTTTCCATGGTAAAAAGGTAAATAACTGGTAGAAAACCCCATCACCCAACTATCAGTACAGAAATGCTCGTGGCTGAATTTCACAAGGGTTGTCAGTCGGAAGGGTCATGCCTTGCAAGGGTTAAAATTCATAAGGGTCATACCTTGCAAGCGTCAAACGTCACGAGGGTCATACTTTGCAAAGATAATTCCTCGCAAGGGTCAAATATCGTACGAGTCATATCTCACAAGTTTCCTACCTCGCGAGAGTCCAACGTCGCAACGGTCATATCTCACAAAGGGCCAACGTTGCAAGGTTTATACATGGCAAGGGTCATACCTTGTGAGGATCATGTCTCCCGTAGACCCTTGACGATTTTCCTCTCTGTTCCTTTGTCTAACCCTCATGATCATTAGACCGTTGTGATTGTCTTACCTGCGCCTTTCCCAGTTGACCCTCGTAATCGTTGGCTCAATTTTTAAAGCCACATGACAATACAAAAAGACTGAAAACATTGAACATTTAAGTACCTATGTTTCCAAATTATCAATCAACTGAAAATTCAATGATACGTAATATTCAATTATCAGAATGAATTCGTAAATTAATGCTTTTATTGAAATGTCAATAAATGTTCCATATGATAAGCTCACTTTTAATGCATTTTCGAGATGAATGAGGACTGTCATGGTTAATTTGACTTTAAATTGAATTCCATTTCACAAAATTGAACATTTTCATGCAGTTATTATACTTAAATTTGAAAACAATTTCCCATTGTGATCAGATGCATGAATATGGTATAATAAATGAATAAATTCTAGAGATGTTGAAAAATTGAAAAAAAAAAATTTTGTGAAAGATCGCAAATTTCCTTTTATCAAGTTGGTTCATTTCCCTCAAGTATATCTGTTTTACTCCATCAACTATTCTCGCATGGAACATATAATTTTTTGACAGAATACATTTTTTTCTCTCAGTATAGCCAGTCAATGGCAGATGAAGAAGAACGACGCACTACAGCATTACCTGCATATGGTGACCAATCTAGGGTTGAACTTCAAATTGATGTGATCATAAAAATCCCTGTAAATCATCAAAATACGAGTGGCAATCATTCTGAAATTACACTTCATTAAGAATCAAATATGATGTGATGTTCAAGTTTCATATTGAATCATAAAATTCAAGTTGTCATCAGAATTTCTATGATAATAAAATGAACGCCATTCTCTCGAATTCTCAACAAAAAATATAAATTTCATGAATGAATGTATTTTAAATCTAATTCCATATTCCGAAATTGGAAATCATAATAATCACATAATTGGTGATTAAATTCCACTAAATATCAAACAATATATGCCAAGGGTCCATTGGACGTAAATGACCTCAGTGTTTCTAAGCTCAGGTCTTTATTCACCGCTTAGTAGATATGCCTGCAGTAACTTTCTGGAATGCTATAGCAACTGGCACCCTGTAGGATACCGCAGCTTTGCCTTGACACTAACCTTTTCTCTTCATTACTCTTTAATATGAACACTTGGGAAATCAGTTACAGAGAAAATGATGGAATCGTTGGCGTCTCAAGGGATAGTTTTTGGTGTTACTCATTGATTAATGGTCTCCATGTGATGTTTTTTTAATGGGAAAGCGATTCTAATCATCATTATTCGTCTTCCTTCGGCTTTTGTTTCGGTCATTAGAGTCAATTACATCTAATATAAAAGAGGAATGCTATATCCTATCCATTGCCTTTCAATATTTACATATGATTCTACGTCCGGTGCCCACTCGTCTCGCCAACCTCCAAATACCTCACTTATGACCCTCATATGACACGCATGATCCTTATTCTGATCCTTTTGACCCTTAATCTAACTCTCGTGACCCTCATTATACCTCTAGTGACCCTTATTTTGACCCTTCATTTCTGACCCTTAATTTTGGGTTCTTAATTTGCAGTATCAAATTTACCCTTCATTTCTGACCCTCAATATAAGTTTCATGACCCCTAATCTGACCTAAATGACCCTCGTGACCCCCTATTCTGACCCTTGCGACCCTTCATCTGACCCTTGTGACCCTTAATCTGATACTTGGTGAGCTTATTATGATCCTCGGGACCCTTATTCTAATCCTCATGACCTTTATCCTGACCCTCATGACCCTTAATTTGGAGTCTTAGTTGCGATTACCAAATTTTCATCACCAAAAGTCGATTTGGATTTTTATATTATAGAGAGAAACAATTGACGAATTGTGTTGCGTGTCAATCACGCGATAATAGTTCATTTTTTATACTTTTATTAGAATTTTTTCGGTTTCAACTCGAGTATTTTTCCCAAAAATTTTTTGTAGAACTTGAAATCAATTCAGTCCCGTTGTCTATACACTACACAGTCATAAAATCATGAAATTCGTTCAAGAATATTTCTCAAATATCTTTGCTGGAAAACCCCGTTCATCTGCGCTAGCAGCTTTAATAATATACGAGTCTGAAAGAACTTCAAATACATGTACAGCCAACCTATCACGATTGTGATATTAAAGTAATAGAAATTCTGCTCGACTAGTTTCCCGACTTTTACATATCCGATCTAATTAAGCGAGAATACTTTATTGGATAAGTCTGAAAATTGTTTCAACTCAATTGTTGGATCGATTAGATTGAAACACTTGGGATTAAACTACAGATAAAAATTGGTCGACTTAGAGTTAAGTAATTTAATAGAGCGTTTCGCGTTAAAAGTTTATCTCTCAATGATAGTAAGACCTGGTATAGGATGGATGTAGAAGGCAAGAAAGCAGCCAGGTTAAAAGGCGCGAAGAGGGAACGAGGAAACACAGAGAGGGGTGCAGCAGTAGTAGCACTACGAGTTTCCTTCCGACGAGAGAAACCAATTTCCAAACTCGAAACTATCCCAACCGCACGTCTCCCCTAATATTGCAACTGCCTCACCTGGTAACTCGATTCAACGTACACGTAACTACTACCAGAATCGTCACTTTTACGGTCCACAATATCGCACGAGTCTCGCAGATTTGGAGAATTACCAGGCCCAGAGGTTCACTGTGTTTTGAAGGACGTGGGTTGAGGGGTGCATGTGCATTTCCAAGAATTAAATTATTGGGTTGCAAGACTTACGTCTTGAGCTGAGAGAATTCTGGTCGCTGGTTGAATTGTTATGCTGCCAGAGTGTGGACGATGGTGGAGGGAGTCTGGTGTATCACCTCGGGAGCATACGCCTCTGTACCAGGGAAGATCACTTCCGTTTCTTCTGTGTCTGTATTTTCTCCACGCGTGTCTGAAGAGAGAAAAATTATTTAAAAAATGCTTATTCGATGTCAAACTACCTTTCTCATCGAAATTTAATTGTGCACTATGTTCGTTCATTCGACATTGCTGACTTGAATTTCTTTTTCATTTCTTTGTATTTTTCAAAAATTTCTAATTCCCAGTAAGAACCAAATCAAACTTTTTCTTGGCACTGTTTTTTGACAAAAATCAGTAGTAATACCTCAAAAGTTTCAAATTTATCTGCTATTTCCTGACAACTTCGTTGCAAATAAAGGAGGGTATCAAGTTTTGCAGGTTAAAAAATGCCGAGCTTGCGCGAGGGATTTTTCTGCAAAACTTGATACCCTTGGGGGAAATGCCCGATCAATTTTGAAGCTCGAGGAGTATTTGTCGAATTATTTTTTCCAATCGGATTTTGGCCGATCGGAGCGCAGTGGGAGGTGAATTAGGGAAGATTTAAATACGTTATGTTGATAGAATAACCCGATTTCCGTAGACTGTCAAATACAAGATTCGATGTGAAACGAGTTGAAAAAATTGAGAGCTCCTGGGAAATATTGAAAAGCTAGGAGGAAATATCCGAAATAAAACTGTCCGGTAACCTCAAATACTGCGTTCTGATTGGTCGAAATGCGATTGTGAAAAATAATCTATCAAATTCTTTCTGCAATTATTTTCTCAAACAATAGTTGCTCATTTCATTAGGGCATCCCGTACATTCTGGGCACCCAGAAACATTAATTATTCATCACAAAAGTTTGACACTGACGATGATTTTCTTGTTAGGCAGAAAATGTTTATTTATTTTTTTCCAATGTCTTTAAATTTTTTTTCTCCATTTTAGTCTTCTCTCTAGTCTCGAAAAATTTATTTGCTCATAAGATCTTGCGTTATTTTGCTACTTCTGAATTAATTGCTACCAATAATACTAGACTGCCAATTGAGCACCAACTCAACCAGAATATTTCTATTTATATCAACTTTCGTTTAGATTTACTTGAGATTTTATCTTCAAAATTCAAGTTATGTTTATACTAATTTAATTCTGCCTAGATTTTCTTCGGCCTGAACGTTTTATTATTCAGCTTACCCATATTGAGTGATTCAACTTTAGTTTGACTGATACATTAATTCGATAATGAATAACCGTAATGATGATTATCAAAATGATGACTATCAAAATGATGATTAATTTTTAATAACGATTCTTCTTCTCTTCGTGACAGTTCCTTTCATTCTAATTTTCTTCGTGATCTGGGCAATTTTATCGTTACGATTACACCCTTAAAATTTTACGCTCACAATTACACCAACGACTAGAGGTCCATTCACCGCTGGGTTCAGCCAAGGATAGATTATGTGCTCCTCCTCCGTGACTGAAGCCCTGGCCACCAGGGATGGCCGAACCTCGGACCATGCTTGGGCGCCCAGGCTTATGCCAGACTTGGCCTGTCTTTCCAACACTGGCATTTCCTACCTGGAGGCGTCGCTAGTTATAGAAGTAGAGAGGAAAAACGGATGATCCTTCCGGGTGTCTAGTTTCATTATGAGATGCTTGAGAGGAATTTCTAGAGTTACTCAATGTTTTTAACGGTGTCGATTCATATTTCGACTAATTGGAAACTCAAGAAGCAACTACAATATTAAATATTATCCGTAGAAACTTTGAAGAAGAGGAACTGAATCGTCGTCCCAGATCCCGGTAGGCAATGAGAAATGGGCAAAAACTGGCTTAATGTTGGCCAGTTCCGGGCCAACTTGGCCAATAATGGGCCATCATCGGCCTACCCTGGGCCTTATCAGGGAGAATTAAATGTAGGGGAGGGTAGGGAAAAACGGACCGGGAGGGCAAAACGGACCACTGATAGAAATTTGGTACTTTTTTTCTTTTCTTTAAATCAGGAACACTGAATATATTGAATTAAAAGAAAGTTTTTTGGATCGACACTGTCACAGGGGTTTTATAGACAAGAAGTGTCGTTGAACCGCAATTTGATCAGATTTGCTAATCACCTCAAACCACAAATGACTCTGAAAAACCAATATTTCCTAGGAATCAGGGTCTCTAAAGGCAAATAGATATTTTTATATTCATTTCTTGTCTAAACAAGCAGCGCGACAGAAGGCATTTGACGGATTGCATACGACTGCTACTCTGCACCCATTTTTTTCTACTATTTTCATTTCTACTGATTTCATTGGTAGTATATGCTTCCCAATGGTTCCCAATGCTTGTTTTCTAAAAATTAAACCATATATTCCTGTTATATGGCTTTCTCAATTATCCCAATGTGAAAATGAAAGTCGCTCTACGGTTACATTTCGCATGCTAAAATTTGCCGAGATTTTGCATATTATTCATCTTCAACTTTTCTCTCCGTGCTGTGAAAAACGAAAACGACGAATAGGCGCTCATATATTTTGTTACGAGACACTATCCATAGGGTGTATGCTACCTTCATCGATATTAGAGCTGTTTCCATCATACGTAACTAGATTCCGTATCTTGATGAAAAATTTCCTCAATTAATCCGGCAAGAGCGGCTCACACTCAAATTTCATTTAGCCCTTCGTCCCCATGAATGGGTCATTCATGTCCGTGATATATATAACGAGTTTATAATTGGCAGTGATATTCATCAGAATTTTTTCACTATTTTTGCAAAGAATTCCTAGTTTGGGGTATGAAATGAATATTTTTCCGACACGGAGAAAAAAGTTAGAGAAAAGTTACCGAACAGGGGACATAATCGTGGAGCGAACTCGATTTCTAGTACGTTTGCACCCTACATTGGGGAAGAAGTGCGGGACAAATAGTGAATTTTTCTCCGTTGGCCCGTGAAATTTTACTGAACGTGAGGGTAAGTCCCTTTTCGTTTATAGATTTTCGGGCATAAAGTGGCACTTTTCGTAACTTTTAGGATAGTAAACGAAAAGGGAGTTTTCGTTTACGGGATTCACTTTTCGTTTACCACAGCTGACTTTCTAGTTACAACTTGGGGTTCGTTCCTATGCCACAAGTAAAATTTACCTTGCATTTCATCAAAAATTATCCCAGTGAACATGAATGATTCCTCAATATTAGTATAATTTTTCTGTAATGGAGAATGATTTTTCATGAAACAAGTGGAAAAAGAGCGCCACTTTGCACACTTCGCGCGCAAAGAACCGCCTTTTTCTCACCAGTATCATAAAATATCGCACAATACATATAACAAAAAGTACTTCCTGACAAGTGTGATTGCCATTGAATTGATTTTCATTAAGAACATAGATGGAAGTAATTTGATGCAAATATTCAGCATAATAATTTAGGTTCTCTGCCAAATTTCATTACGTCTAATTTAGGGAGTAGACTCTCATATGCTTCCGCCTAATATAACTACGACACCGTGAGGGTGATAGCCTATAAAATGGAACCCATGCAGAAGCGTATCTGTGTGACTAATTAGAATGATGCACATAAAATGGAAAAGTTTTTCAAATGGGATCTCATATGGGAATGTGAGCTACGTTTCATTGCTTGTCATCGTTATGCTGATGAGAGGGCATGTGTTCCGTGTCACGTGGAAGATTTATCGTAATTCGATAACGATTTCATCCACAATTGGAAAACGCTATTTCAATGAAGCAACTTTATAATGAGTTTACGAATCTGTGATTTAGTTCACGAAGTTTTGACCAATTTCAACATCTGAATATCTCCCGGGCTTGAGTTGGAGGGTAAAATTGTCGCTGACTCGTCTACTCATTGTAAGATTATAGTCAACACTTGAAAATGCTACTGCAATGAGCGTCACACACTGATAGAAAAAGCGGAACGATATAGGGGAGCTGGTGCCTGTATCGTTCAGCGGATAATACCGTCCACCCTTTTTTCTCAGGATTGATTGCGAAAGAAATTTATTTTTTATTATGTAAATATTTGATAACAACAAGTAATTTCAACAGAAATTTTCAATTTTCTCTCGTGGAAAAATTATTTAAAAAATCCAAATCACTTCGTACTGAATTCTTAAAATATTTCGACCACAGAATTTAAGATTTTTCAAATTTTCAAGTTGGCCCATAATTGAATGGAGTGCGTAATCTATGTTCGTTATCCATTTCCACATCCATTGCGACCTTTTCGATAACAGAAAACTGTCTTCATCAGTCATTATTGGCTATTTTATCAGCCTCCGTGTTGGAAGGTAATTCCGCCCAGAGTTTGTGGGTAATGCCGCCCAGGATTTCTATAGGGCTGCTAGACTGCAGCTAGAGGGCGGTCTACTGACAGCTCAATTGTTTGGAGTAGTCGGTGGCCCCTCGAACACCGGGTAAATTCAGGATAATTTATTACTATTCACATGAATTCTTTCTCAAAATGGAGCCAAAGAATGGAAACGAAGGATGAAAATAGGAAAAATTATAACAGTTGGTCTGCATTGCTCAAGAACGTCATGAAAACAAGGTGGGCGGTATTGGACGCATGCCGGGCGGTATTACCCTCAAAGTTCGATTCCATCGCCCACTGGCAGATGGCAATTGAATTACATAATTAAATATATTTAATATTAATAACAAATCTGTCCTCTTCACATCTGCGAGTAAACACCTCGAAGAACCCATTCTAACCGGTTATGACTGCTTGTAACGAGCGGGGCTGGAAAGAATGACTCATTTCCCTTAGGTGGGGGTGCATGCACCAACTCCCCTACGTATTAACTACCATAATAAGCGGACTTTGGAACACTCAAACGCATCAGTTTGTTAACCTTAAAATAATCCTTCTATCATTGTAAAGAAGTTCCGTCTTAGCTTGTTCTCCACTACACATTCACTATCTCCGAAGTAATTTGGTTTTCCTTCATGAAACCTTCGCCCTCAATTAATAAAGATTCCTCCAAATTTCTACAATGCAATTGAAATCCCCTAGAATTGATTCCCTCTAAAGTTCTATCTGTCATTCATTCCACTCGAATCCTCAAAAATTCCGTTCCACACCCGACACTACCAGATTTATATCTCCCGTCATCGTCACCCAGGTGAATTCCCCGAAACTTCCTCTCCACTTTTCGTTACCCAAAAGAACTAACACAACTACCCCAGACTGAAGGATCTCCGTTTATATTGTAACCATCGATATCTCGATCCATCAACGTAGAAATTTATAGCACGTGGGTGTTAGATGTACAAAGTGAGAAAGCCTGACGAACTATTCCTGCGGAAATACTCGCATCCCAGTTTAACCCAGTACTGCACAGAGAGTGAGAGAGAGAGAGAGAGAGAGAGAGAGAGAGAGAGAATGCAGCGTACATTGAATTGCGACATTAATCAATGTCACTATGGTCTAGAGAACTCCCACTCTCCTCGATCTTTGGGCGAATATATGGAGTTACCGTTTCCCCTCACCGATGCAGCTTTCTGTTGACTTATGACAATTGTTAAATCTGTGGGGTTGAATGGTGTACCCGGTGTTTAAAGGAGCGGAGGAGAAATCTCGACAGAGATGAATGCGAAGGATTGAAGGTGAGATAATGTTGTTGAGAGGTTGGGGCACGTTGGACACTAATCCCCTGATGGCGACCGACTGCAACGTGAATTCTTTTCTCCTATTATTCGACACAGAGTGAACGCGTTCAACGAGAAAAACGATGTACGTACATGTGTGTAAGCTGACCTACATCGCCCTCGCGTGATAAGAACTGGTCCAAAGAGGTGTAAAATCCAAGTATCGTTCCTCCTGCTTAGAGAAACTTTTTCCCTTTCCAATGCACTTTAGCCCCCTGAAAGTTACTCTCAATCTATAACGTTGCCCTCTTTTCTCTTAACTCAAACAGATAATGGAGAATAAAGAAATAACAGGTGAGACTCTTGAAATGATTTCAGTCGTAATCCCGGCTGATCGATAGAGTCACAAGCTTAAGTGGACAGCTCGTAGATACGTCGGACGTTATCGGAGAAGGTTTATGGAAAAGCTTTTGTGGTCGTAAATGTCATGTACAATTGTCAATTATCGGTGGACTGCTCTTTGAGGTGTGAAATTAGATTGATATTTTATTCTGCGAAATAGGATGATCATTTTACCTGACGCCAAATACAATTGCAACAGCAACGATGAGGGGAACCAGGGTGGCAAAACATGCCAGGAATACCGTCTGCATGTCCGAGAATGCAGCAAGAATACCTGGAATTTAAAATAATTACATTATTTACGTTGTTGAACGAAACATTGTGGGAATTTAACATCTTGTCGAAAGGACTTGGACAAACTGACATTTTCAAATCAAATCTTATAGAAAATATACTTTTGAATTTATTAGAACATAAACAAAGAAAGTTTAAAAATATTAGAATGTCACGTTGACGTAAAAGAAATAAAACCACAAAAATTATCAAAAGTAAAAAAAAGTGCCATTGGCATGAGGATGTTTTATTTTCCTTTTTGTATTCGAAAAAAAGGACTTTTTGATGTGCAACATCTTTTCCTACAAAATGTACCAGTTTTCCATCACAGTATTAGATAAAATATCCACCGAATCCTGCACATGGTCTGTTTGCGATTGTTTTTGTAGGGGATAAGATTTTCTCAATTATTAGAAAAACATCAAGTGCACGATTCTGTAGATACTTCCCTAATACTGCGACAAAAAGTTAGTACATTTTCTAGGAAAAGGAGTCGCGCATCAAAAAAATGTTTTTTTTCCAAATACAAAAAGAAAAAAACATACATATGCCCATGACGTTAAACTGGGACACGACGTGTATTTCCCTTTATTTTCCGTCAAAATTTTTTTAATACAATTTGAAACAAAAAAAAAATCTGTAACCGGCACATGACGCGTTGTTTATTTTTGATCGTTTCTGTGGTTTATTTATTAATCCAAAGAAAGGAGAGAGAATGGAGTTTCATTTTTTTTTTGTGGTGAAGAGTACGATTCTCCGAGGGGATTTCTTTAACAAGGAGAAATAGTATACAGGTGAAAGGGCGAGGGGTGTTGAACATTGTACATGGGTGGTGGGACGTGCAGAGTACCAGTAAAAATTGTTGGTACACAGTCGCTGGTTGCCTCTCTGTCAGTGCGTTGAAGGAGACCACACGAGCCAAGATGGAAGGAGAGGGAGAAGGACAGAGTGCAGGAGGAGAGGGATGCATGGTCGGTGACCCGGAAAATACCTGCTTGCACAGGCAAAACCCAAACTCTCAGTGCGACCCGGCAACCGGTGCAACACGCGCAAGATTGTATATGGTAAACAAAGCCGACGAACGCACCGAGCTTTTTGGGTTGAGAGATGTATAGATGGTAGGAAAGGGAATGAACAGGTACATACGCAATTGGAAGCGCTTCCGGGTAAATTCTCATGGTTGCATGCATGAATGAAGAAAATAGAAATTGAGAGATATTTCTGGTGGAGTCAACGTAATCAAGTATTGTGGATTTCCTGTTTGTATACAGGAGGGCGTTTTTCCCGTCGAAGGGGTTGAGGAAACACATTATTTCAGCTTTTTTTTTAAAGAAGAATTAATTTAGGAAAATAGAATTCATTACGTTCACCAGAGAAAGTCTCTGTTATGCGAATTTTTTCATCATAAACATGAGGATAGCCCTCGGGCTAAGGTTTTAATAATCACAAGTTTTGCGGGTATTCTAGAAGGGATGGATGAGGAAACAAAAATACGTATGTTAATTAAATAATGCATATTGCGCTGACATTACACATTTATCACTCTTCGTGAATACGAAAACGTGTCATGACAGACGTTGAGTGTACTACCGCACTGTCATGTGCGGTTAGAGAGATTCTCCTCCGCGGTTGTCAACTGTCCCCGTCAGTTTCACTCAAATCCGTGGCTAATATCACTCGGCATGGCGGGCACGCAACAGCCCACGTCTCGGAAAATCGAAATTGTACACGTGTAGACTTCAAGTGACTCGGGAAATGAATATCGTGAAAATCCATTGAAAATGTCACATTATTTCGGTGACAATTGTGATAGAAAAGGTGGAAAATATGGACGAGTGGTCAGATGTGGATTTGTATAGGGTTACCGAGTTGTTTGGAAAGCATCCCAATTTGTGGGATCGCGAGCATGAAGATTATCACAATCTGCAAGAAAGATATCACAGTTATTTTCAAATCCTTGAGGTAAATTACTGTTTCACAATTTTTTTTCAACTCTCAGGAATAAAAGTTGATAAAATTTATTGTATGGGTTAGATAGATTCAAATACCATAAAATTGTTGAAATTTCTTGCGCAATGAGAACCTCCACAACAATGGTAAATATAAAATCTCAAACAGCCGACCGTAATGGTTATGGCTCCGGCGGACATCCGAGTGCAGCTGAGTTTAGCATGGTTAGCACTTGGATGGGTGACCCTTAGGAACACCCTCGCTCAAAAAATGCGGAAGGTAGACAGGGTGTAGTGGCTTAATGTGCCCCTCTAGTCAGTGTGACAGGGTACATTAGGACTCTGCACAATCGGCCGGCTGTACGACTGAGGTTTTTGCATGGTTTCCCGTGCAGTCCTAGCCCGCATGGGGTACAGTTAAGAGTAAGACGGCCCATGTTAATGCAGATAAAAATCAGAAGAGAGAAGTGGGAGGCAAGTCAGATGAATGGAGACATGGGGAGTCTATAAAACCGTAATGATAGCAGGAAAGAACTATGAATAAAAAAAATATATATATGTAAATAAAATCTCAAACATTAAAAAAATTTATCGAAGAATTTAATCAACAAAATTTACGTTAAAGACTGTCTCTAACCCTCCAAAAAATTTAAACATCCTCAATCGATCATCTCAATCTATCAACCATTACCGTCAGCCTCCACCCCCGGACTGTACAGCATAAGGAATGTATAGAGTTATCAAAAGAGTACAAAGAGTGGAGTGAGTTTTCAGGGCTTTACGGTTTCGTTTTCCAAGCTCGATAGTACACGAAACTGGTTATTCCCGTATAAACATAGAATATCGAAAAAGTAATTTTTATTCATAGGGCCTTTGCATGCCGAACGCGTCGGTCAGCGATGTACTATCGATACTACGGGAGCTTCGATGCGCTTATGTGTCGAATCTACGAGAGATGCAGGTAGACGTTCACTGGAAGAATGAGCGACTCAGTGGTGGTAATGGTGGCAGAATGGTTCGACCAGTGGCCAAGTGGTTTTGGGTCATGCACGGATTTCTGTACGATCATTTGGACGCCGACGAGAGGCTCACTGAATATCCGGATGTATGTATTATATAACATGAATCGTTTGCACGTTTCAACAGTTCTACTACACCATTCCCTCCCTTCACGTAAATCCGGAGCAATTTCACGGTGCTACGTTTATCTATCCTAAATCCACGCCAAATGTAATTTAATCCATTTCTCCATTCATCTCGAAGCGCATTAGCTCAGGCGGAATCATCTCAATGATCTGTAATTGAAATTTTAACGACCAAAGATGAATCCATTTCATATCCATGAGTTTCAATATTCTCAGTATTTTCGGAGTAATTATTTGATTTATCTAGAGCTGCTCAACCCCGAAGTATTTCTCTTGAAGAATAATCTAAAGTCAACAGGAAAAGTTCAATATAAATTTAGAATTCGTAATGACTTTTGGGAAATTCATGGTGTATCAATGGGTCAACGTTATAGAGTCGTTGGAATTGATTGATTCAATATAAATAAGACTGGAACATTTGAGTTGCTTTGAGTAATCTTTGAGTAAAATGTTGAATAATCAGTAATTTTTCAATGAAAGCTTGAATTTCTAAACTCATCGAGGAAATTGAACATCACATACAATTCAATTTTCAATAGATTGAGAATTCAGAAAAGTTGTCTGAATTTTCAACATTTTCAAGGTTCTTCAGTGCCGTATGGACCTGAAAATCGAGAATTGCTTGAATATTCAAGAAATTAAGTGATTTGTCAATGAAGAAATACACAAAAATTTCATGTAACTTTGTCGTCATTAACAATTTCAAACTTTTTCACTTGAAATTTCAAGAGTAATAATCTAACAGTGTACTTTCCTCAAAAATTTACCAACACATGAAAAAAAACTGGAAAATCTTTTTAATTACTTCCACTCGTTTACTCCCCCTCGTAAAGTTACAATAATTCACTCGAAATGAAAATCAATCCCCCTTCAATCCAGCCAAATATAAATCCATCAACTCAGCCCGACGTTCTCTCTTCTACCTGCGCCTGTGAACCCGTTGATATTGGACCAAAAAAAGGTGGTACATGGAGTAAAGATGACCCTAGGCTAGTACACCAAGAACGAATGACATTGGATGAGAAAAAGTGGGATAAAGTGGACGAGGAAAATGAAGTTGCCCGGGGCAATGGAGAATTTTCAGTCACCTCAGCTTCCCACAAGGGTGAAATACTCTTCATTCGTGCCCCCCGGGAACTTGCAAGCATCAGAATGAATACAGTGTATGAGTTCCCAGATAGGCGAATGGGTGTACCGTCGAAAATGTTATCCGAAGACGAGGATCAATACAATACGTGTAATGGAAATGTTGAGGACAGAGGAGAGATGGTGGATGAAAATGTCAATAGGAGAAAATGCTGCTGGAAGGATAAGGGAGCTTGTCTTATTGCTGAAACCCACGGAATTGATGGAAAAAAATCCTAATTTCAAAATAGAAGGTATGTTTTTGCTTCCGAATAAAAGTCTTGCATTTGACCGATTTTTCGATTTTCTAATTCTGACTGCAAATGACCTGGAATGTCATGAAATGTGAAGAAATTATGTTTTTAGGATCATATCTGTACGTGAGATACATCTCTGTGAGAGACATATCTGTATGTGAGAACTAGGATTTATGGCGATTAATTTTTAGAAAATGCATGTGACCGTTACTTTGTGCGCCATTAGTCTCTTTTTTTGTTTTATTGTTACCAATTCTATTGGTAGTAAGCTTTTAAATGGATCCGCAACAATTTCCTATCCTTGTGACCGGCATACAACGGTAGCCACATGCTACCGGGTCTCTACAAGAAAATATTCAACCGTTTAATGAAAAAGATTTATACAAAAGGTTAAATATCTCCGAAACTGCTCGGCCGGTTGCGCCTATCCAAAATATCAAGCATCAGTATTGTAGAAGCTATAATCACCCCAAACTTCAACTTAATCCCTATTTTTCAAGTTATCGTGCGTGCAAGAGTGAAAAAATTTTAAAACAAAAAAACGGAGATATCTCGTTTCCTAGTGGAAAATCCAAAATTATAGCGTTACATACCTGATCAGAATCTGATAAAGTAACCTGATCAGTGTCTGATCAAGACTTGACTAAAAAAAATTCCACTCGGGTTGGTATGCACGGATATATGTATATGTATATATTTTGATTGATCCAGATAGTGGCTGCCGCGACGAGTATTTTGAAAAAAAAAATCCGTCAAGTAGCTCATGACATATGTGAAGAAATATATTTACACAAAAGGTTGCATATCTCAGCAACCACTCGACCGATTGCGCCCATTCAAAATACCAGCCTAGTATTTAAGAGCTAGAATCATACTGAATTTCCACTAGCTATCTCTTTTTTTTCTCGAGTTATTGTACGTACAAGATTTTTCATGAAAACCGGAAGAACGGCAATATCTCCAAACTGTATTATCGAGTTTGTATATTCTGATTGATTTACATAGAGGCCATCGAGACGAGTATTTTGAAAAATAAATTGAAATCGGTGCAGTAGTTTTGGAGATATTGAGTAAAAACTAAATTTAAACAAGTTGTTCGATCTCAGGAACTACTGGATCGATCGAGCTAAAACTTGAGCTCAATAATAGCCTCAATGAGCCAAAATGTCAGATTTTTATCTACAAATTTCATCGTATTTATGTTGAATTTTGTAAAAATTAATCATCAAAAACCCAACTTGTCGGATATATAAATACAGACATGAACCTAAAAATATAATTTCTTGACGTTTCATAACATTCTAGACCATTTGCAATCAAAATTAGAAAATCGAAAAATTGGCCAATACCAATGAAATTGGCAGACAAAACAAAAAAAAGACTAATACCGCAAAAAGTAACGGTCACATGCCTTCTGTCGAATAGGCTCGAATCCCTGCTTGTTTTTTTTTCAATGTTTCTATTTAATCCAAATGTCACGAGAATGGCTGAGAAAATTCTTCTCTTGCACAGAATGACGATGAGAATCCTTGATATTCCCATGTTCTACGGCAGTTGACAACCAGTGAAATTATCTACTGCTGTATAAAATCGGACAGGACATAGCTATCCCCTGGAGTAGGGTCCAAGTCAATATCCTACGTTCTGACACCATTCTGGGAGACACCCACACGATGGATTTAACGCTGAGACTCAGTGATTCGAGGACGGCCTCGGGAATAACGAAAAGAATCGAGTCAGAATGCAATCGGATGTGCGTTATGAAGGCACCTTGTTCCATCCCTGGGATGTAGTATGACGGAGATGAGACGCCTGGGAGGGTATGGTTGTACTTTGTCTTGAGGCTTTATCGGTGAGACAGACCATACCATAAATATTTCTCAAGGAGTACTTGTGCTTGAGCCATCTTTGGACTGTGGGAGGGTTGGATACCTGGAAGACACTGGGATTTGTCACAATCTCAGTTGCCCGCCGACGGTGAGAGACAACGGTCCTTCCTGGATGCCAGCAGTTTTCCACTTGAAACGATTCATTGCCCTCCGGCAAGAGTGAAATACAATTGTTCCCATTGTAAAATGTATACATCGAGAAAGGTAGAGGCAATGTTGGAGAAAATATTCTGTGTCACAGACGTATCGTGCGTTTTAATAATAATATTTTCTGTCCCTTCCATATTGGTCCTGAATACATGCATATGAAAATGGGAAAATTTTTATCCCACTGTGATATATCGGAAATTCAGCGTTCATATGTCCCATAAATCATGAAATGTTCTATGTATTATTTCAACACGTGTTTTCAAATATCTAACGTCAATCTTCCATCGTAAATCATGCTATCGGTGTTGCATGTTTTTACAGGAGTAATATCCAATGCGGAAGGGGAGTAAGTGCAGGTGAGTGAGTGGATGCCGAGAGTCGAGGAAATTCACCGTGAGATCAGGGGATATTGTACAACACGGGATAGTACAAGGAGGTTTGGTACTTTAACATTTGAACGGTTGCCGTTGAGTTTTCGGGATTTAGGTTGACGATGGATGAGTATTTTCTTGAGGGAATCGTTGGTTATAAAACTTTGTAAAGTCAGGTTAAGCATCAGCGTTCAAAATACAAAAATATTGATTTCTTTCCTTGAGTAAAATGTAAAGAAACTTCATGCGGAAGAATGGTGAAACAAAAATGTCGATGTGAAAAATCGTAACCAGCCGCATGATCCTTCACCAGCATCCCTTGATAAAGCATCCTGAGTACGACAAATGGTGGCGGTGCAAGATCCATAGGTTCATTTGTCTCTACAGGAAGTGGCATGTCCCCAGGAACAGTGACTCAATGAATTTACTTGAACGTCAGACAGCGAGATTTTCCCTCACCCCTGAGATTCAACGTATGAACCTCAAACCAAGAGCGTTAGCAAAACCAGAGAATGATGATAAAGTGGTATACTGGTACATTCAGTGAAGCTTGTACTGGGGATCACTTGGAATACCCAATTCAGCCATTTGTGCGAATCACACCATCAAAGGTTGCGCTCACTCCACAACATTCCTGTATCGTTGCAATTTTCATCCTGACTTGGTAAGGTCTTCTACCTCCATGAAGGGTAGAGACCGGAACGCTTTATGAGTCATTGAGATGCCACGAAACGTAATAGGAAATGGCGCTCACAAAGGATACCTCCGAACTATTCAACAATGTACTCATGGGGTATATCGTGACGTCGCTTCCCAGTGAAGGCATGCGGTACCAATTCCTTTCGTATCATCACACCCTATTATCTGTGATAACACAGCGTGAGGCTGGGCTCCAGCGGGGTTGCAAGCAGTATCGTTGGATATTTACACGGAGGATCAGCCGTGGGAAATAACAGCCCTATGCAGCGTGTCAATACAACGATTCACTCGGCTCTGGAGGTGTAGAGAGAAGCAAGAAGACTGGAGGATTGAAGAAGAATTCTTTTCTTTCTACCAGTTGGCATTGTTATTTTTACCTGGGATTTTCTGCTAGAGACAGTTGATGTCAGAGGGAATTTGAAAATATTTCACATTTGTAATCTCTGTGATGGAGTAAAATGCAATTAGAAGAGAAACATGGTGAAAAAAAAACAAAAATAACTATTTTTGTAAAAGACACTGTGGCAAGGAAAATTTTTCTTCGTTTTTTTCTGAAATGAGGAAGACAATATTCTAGGAAAATACAACTTCCATAAAAAACTTGAAAAAAAAATACAGAAACCAATGAAAATAAGCCAAGTCAGGGCTCAATAAAAAATCAGTAAAGACAGAAGCAACGTTCTTGGCGCGGGTCAGAACATGGAAGATTAGATTGATATTAGGCAATGATGTTGTTTCAATCTTTACTGATTTTTTATTGAGCTTAACATGACTTGTTTTCATTGGTTTCCGTATTTTTTTAAAAGTTTTTTATGGAAGTTGTATTTGTCTAGAGAATTGTCTTCCTCATTTCCAAGAAATGCGGAAGAAAAATTTTCCTTAGCACATCCATATCAAAGTTGATGTACACATTGATATTTCTGTCCATGAATATTAATAACCAAGACCGAGCCGTTTCTTTCCGATAAAGCAGATAATGACACGAAAAAAAGATTTTTTGAAACACGTGCATGGAAAAGTCCCTTTTCGTTTACAGATTTTTGTGCATAAAGTGATACTTTTTGTACCTTTTACGATAGTAAATGAATAGTGACTTATCGTTTACTGGATTCATTTTTCATTTACAACTGCTGACTTTCTAGTTACAACTTGGGGTTCATTCTTATGTCGCTGTTTGAAAGATGGCGCTGTCGTTATATTTTCAAACACCCCGGTGTTATCCTGTAACTATGTGCGTAGCTGAAAACATCAGTCTAGTCGTCTCGAATGAATTGCGTCAGCCATACGATAGCCATTACGCGTTAGAGTCCAGGGAGTCCATTCTCGAGTTGAAATCGTGCGTTCGATTTCAATAGGTCGCATGCGACTCGTGGTACGCCTTATGGGCCGTATGCGACTTGTTGAAGTCGAACGTACGATTTCAATTTGAGAATAGGCTAAACGAATTATAGTCAAAAAGTCCTCAACAATTGTTCATGGGTTACGGTAACTATGGCCGGAGAAGTAATCACTACACTGGAATGTAGTCATTGCAACTATTTTATAGTTCTGCTCACGATAGATTTGTCGTGGTTACTTTTGAACTTTGGTTAGTTTAACTGCATTTTGATTTGCAAAAATTACGCTTGTGAAGTTACTATAATGTTATGTGCCGCATAGAAAAAAAAACTTTGGCGCCACCAGCTGAGCCGGGTTTAAGGCACTTAAAAGGACTAAAGATCTTATTCATCTCAATTTGGGAACACAACTTCTTAAATAAAACGACGAAAGTGTCTTGATTTGAGATGTAATTTTTTCGAGTAGAAAAAAATGGCTGGTTTCTATTTTCATATAATCCAGCTCTCGGAGTTTGATGACAGTCATGAGCTGAATATGAAAACGCTTTCAAAAAATTGAGAGCATTTTATCTTCGTTGCATCGTTTATTTATTTCCAACACAAGTACTCACTTGAATCCTCACAATCTCTTGGCACGATTTGTTTGCTCCCCACGTATTAGAAATAAAGTAGTTCTTGTATTCGATCATAGGAGGAAATTTATCAATCCCCTGGTCCTTGTTGGGATAACAAGAAACTGAGGGTTTGACAGTGGAGACAGGAGGGTTCCCCAAATTCTGGGGATTCACTGGGGCTACGAAGTAACAACCCAACTGGATCAATCGACGTCCATGTATAGCTTCAATCTGGATACTAAAGTGTGCCCGGGATAAAAGTCTCATCAATAAGATTTCTGATAGTATTTTTTTTTCTAAAGCAATAAAGTTTTCCTGTATTCATTGCGGGACTCGTTGTTCTAAATTCAATATCGTAGAGAACAATTTATCGTAACATGATGACACAAAAGAGCCGGTCAGGGACTACCAAACACAGTAAAATTTAACGACCAGATTGGCAAAGTCCAGTATAGAAGAGTTTCATGTTGTACAACCATAAATATTGGCGACAGTGCTATTATCCTGCCTGGCTTTTCATCCGAGTTTTTTGTACTCCCATAACGGAGGTCTTTTATGGGTTTTATGGATCTTCATATACTGTCAGTTGCCCGAGTCGAAAAATTTGGTGGATTTTTGGTCTGATTTACCCATAGATCCTTGGTTAAAGGCCTAAAAGTCGTATTCAGCGGGCAAAAACCAATCATCCTGGTCGGTTTTTACCCCAACCTAGTTTTGCAACTTTTGGTCTGCCTGATCTCAAAATGAGCAGTGGGTCTACAATTGCTCTGATCAAATTTGGATTAGATGTTTGAGAAAGGTCTCATGCTTTAAAATATTCTTGTACTCAAGTATGATTTTGCCGTAAAACTCACTCAAATCGCGTAGAAGAACCGTTAATCTTCAAGTATTTATTGTTTTCTTTTCCTTTTTTTTTCAGGGGTGATTTTTCAAAAATTTATTTTAAAAAAAGTACCAACTAGCAAATGTTTTTTATTAGCTCGCAATTTTCTTCAAAACTACTTCAATGAGGAAAAAAATAAAAATTTGGAATATCTATACATGAGGGGCTAATTGATCGGATCTGGGTGAACGTTGATTCCAACTATTTAAGCGACGGGCTATTCAGAACTCTCAAAAGTATGTGGAAAAAGTGAAAACTGAAAAAAAAAATTTTCACCGGCGGCCACAGGGTCAGATTTTCGGTTTTTACTTGGAACAAGGGTCAGATTTGTTAACACTTTCTTTTTTTATTTGGACAATGCATGCAAGCGGAGGGGCAAGAGTGGCTAGAATAGATTCTGCAACCTTCTCCGCTTGTTGGATAAAAATGTCAAGCCTCCGCATACATGCATCTCCCCTCCACCCTCCCGTGAAATGTCGATTTTCGAGATTAAAAAAAAAACAATAATTGCATTTTTTATTTCAATAACGCATGAGTAAATAGGGATATGAACGCAGATTTAATATAGGCCCATAGAATTACGGGGACCGGCAAGGATTTGGACAGTCTGAATGCAAGTGCTGCTTACACCTAACAAGTGCTGAAATGGGATATAACCAGAGGTAGAAAGGTCTCGGAAGCACTTGGGAAGAGGCTTCCCAAGACCTATCCAGTTCTGAACGGAGAGACCTAAGTAGAATTTGTCAGGTCCAATTATTCGACTCGGGTCATTTGATTGCTTTATACAAGGGGAAGATTGAAACAGAGAAAAAGCATCATCATAAAAATCAATACTCCATTTTTCCCAGCACCTTCAAAATCTATAAATCACTCAATACAGCACTTTCACCATCCTGAACCTTATAAAATCTGATTATCGATGAACTTACGCATATGCTCAGTAACACGTTTGGTAAACGCGCAAGATGATGTCACTGCTCGTGTACATAGCAATAACCCAGCAATCGCCCGTTGGGGCTTTTCGCGACACTAAAGACAGATTGCATTATCATAAATCTCGTTACATCGTAGCCCCTCGCGTGTACTTTACGGTCTGAAGAATCGAGCACCTCGTACGGTATACAGGGATAAGATGTTCGTGGCGCATCCGAGGTTCAAATGCAAAAGGGTGGAAAAAACTACTCATCGATTCCACATGTGATGAAAAAAGAGAGAAAGAGTTATCACTGATCGACGACGTTTATATGCAGACGTTTCCATAAAACTTCTGTTGGTGTACGAGTCTAAATGTGAAAGCGGGTGCGAAGTACTCAAAGACCAGAATTTCCCAGAGAATATAGATAAAGGAATAACCGATTTTCATGGAGGAGAGAAGAAAATGGAAGAAAAATGAAATCTCATTATTTTGTAAAATCCCAGGGATCGCTGGAAAGAATAGGTATGAACGTGGAGAGAGAGCGGGGAATTTTATGGTTGAAAATTATCATAAATCATCGGAATGAAACGAGGCCGGGATCTAATGAAACCATTGTATAAGCGTCCTGTAGTGGTTGTACTTTTAACGGCCAACGTAAATACGACAATAACGGGTCAAAGAAATTAAACGAGACTGTAGTAACGAACAGTAACGGGATGTTTTTAGTTTTTGGGTCGAGGGATGTACACACTTCTATCGAATGTACACACTGGTCGCTGCTTAGTATGCCAGTGGAGAATTCTACGGAGTGGTCAGACTGGAGTGGGGTGAAGGGATGGCGGTGAAGATTCACTCTAGAGGGTCAAAAGACCCAGAAATAGAGGTTTGAAGAGACTCGGAGTGGTTGGATACCCATTTGAACTGGTCAATTCACTGCGAAATATCTTCATCCACCCCTCATCCTCATTCCCATTTGCTGCTATTTCTAGCCATTGAAGCATTGTCAGTTCCAATGGGTTTAATAGAGTTGTAAATTGTACATGGTCCATTTGGAAATGACGTCTGCAAATTTAAAGGCAAATTGCTTATTCTAGAAATTCCATTTTCCGAGACTGATGACTATACTTCCGGAAACTTTGCTGATCAATTTGATATCTCCCATATATTCTACGCAGTGGAAAATATTCCATAAACCAATACTCTCATAAAATGTGTTACTTCAAAATTTACAGAAATTTCCTACTTTCAGTGATGGTATTTCTGAAATATTCGAACCCAATATCACTTCCTAGAAACTTTTTTTGGAACAATCTCAAGTGTTGGCGAGAGTGCAAGCTTCATTCATATTACTGTGAATCGGAAATTTCCCAAGCAATTGAGGAACTAAAACTGTAATAAACGATTTCCGGGCGCCCTATTACCTCTCATAACGACGAGTCTAATGGGAACCTTATGAAACACGAGACCCTAGCAATGACGCCGGTAAATCCGCAGTCAGCTCACTCACAAAAATTCCCCCTGTTTACTCAGAAAAAAAGGACTCTACACAAACTTCACTGAAAAGTGGTAACAGAGATTTTAACTTTGTCTCGAGTTTCCAGACAAAAGAAAAAGATTGCCAAAGTAGCAAACCAATTCGTTGTAATACTGTGACTAAAGGAGGCACGGTTTGCCCTTTTATTTTACCTTCAAACCCTTTCTAAAGGCTAGAGGAAAAAAACAGAGGACAAGTACGAGGACAAAGTTTTTTCAGCTCTAAAGGCGAGAAGGCAACTTGAGCGGAACCAATAAGGAGCTCCCGTATCGAAACACTTGGAATATGGTGGCGGGTGGAATGGAGCAGGAGCACGCAGCTTTTCGATTTCCTTGCTCGCAGTGGGAAAGAGCGTAGCAAATGGAAACCCCTCTCCCCTTCAGATCGGTACAGATTTCAAAGAGAGTCAGTGCTGCGACGAGTGTTCTTCTGTGTGATTGAATCGCCCGCAGGGAAAAAAACAAGAATCGGGGCGGGTAGGATAGCGTCTGTAGTTACATAAGACCAAAGTGTTAAAAGACGTAAAAAGTGGAAAAAAAGACACAGAAAGAACAAAAATGTAAGAGAGATTGGAGGGCAGATAAGAGAAATTGAAAAGAACCGCAAGTTTTCCTTCTGTCTTTGATACTTCGAGGAATATCCGTTGAATTTGATTCTCTTTGATATCCCAGTCAGTATCATCTGAATGAAGCACGAGTCAACAAATCCGTAGAATCAGTTTCACATTTTCTTGGTATTGGGTTGAAAGAGAAATGTGTGGGAAACCACTGGATTGGCAAACATTCGATATTGACCAGTTTGAACATAATGCCTGATGTACGGTGAAGGTCGGAAGTGGCGTTTGACAAAATATGCAGTAAAATTATTGTGCTATGATGGTTATTGTGTTGTGGTATGAAAGGAGGATAGTAATTACTGTTACAAGCAGCTTGATTGCTATGAACACGAGTATCCTCGTTACACGAAGAATTGGAGTAATTACAAGGGAAAAAGTTTTGTCATCCCTTTGACAATCATTAATTTTGACCCTCGACATAATCGAGATACTTTGTTCCAAGCATGCGATCTCTTTGAATTTCTAGACTGGGTGAAAGAATTAGCGCTACCCACAATACCAAGACTGGTCTCAATCTCGTCTCGTATGGTCTCAGTTTTATCATCCGGTGCTAAGACGATACTCGCTTAAGAATATATTACACCCTTTTCGCCAAAATTCACGTTTTTTTAATTTTTCTGGTAAATTGTTGATCGGATTGACGTGAAAAAATATACTGTTTTTGCGTTTTATCATTAGATATTTATCGGATGTTCTATATTTCGTAACATCACAGAAAGTTTCGGCTTATATTGATCTATCATTACTACATTGCCAATATCTCCTCATCTAAATCCTCATCCACTTTACCTTGTCTACCCAATCAGAAACTTGCGGATTATACGTATAATAACGAAATTAACCGAATTGTTGTAGCGTCGACCCCTCCAGTTAATTCGTAGAGCTACTTGTACCGAACTTGTTTAATTCGACTAAAGATTGAGGATTTTCTCTTTCCCATCGTGCCCCGAATGCGAGAGTTTATAGAACAAAAGAAAGCCTCACGAATAACAAAGGAGGGACAATGAAACGAAGAAAAAGAAAGGAGAAGAAAGAAAAGCAGTGGAGTCTGTCTCAACGATTCGACTTAACGAGAGGTAACTCAAGCTTTGGTGGAAGGAGATCTTCCAAGGAAATTGGGGTTAGACGAGTTTAAAGATGGCAGTAGTTGTTGTTTTATTACTCACTGTATTCAAGCTCGTCCTGTTCAACCAGGTAACCCGTGGAATTATAGACATGTTGGTCCGGCTTAGCTGTGCTCGTAACCGCGGGACTGGTTAGTGCCATGGACGGATTAGTTGGAATTGTCACGCTATCGCTAATCGCACCGGCTACCATGGTGGGTGGTGATGGTGATGGCACTGGTACCAGGTTACCCTGGTAAATACGAGCGCCCTGGCTCAAATGCTGTGCTGTTTCGGTTGTAATTATTCCACTGGTTAAATTTGTCAGTAGGTGCCGGAGAATTCTCCTCACTGCTTCATCCGAATCAGCCATTGCTCAATGATTGAATTCATTGGTTCAATTCTCGGTCACACCAATCACTTTGAACCCCTTCATTCCTTGGATTTTGTTTTTCACATGTTTTGACGGAGAGAAAACTCTCGAGGGATTGTCACTGATTTGTCGACTTCACAATGCACTTAATTCACTTGGAGGGCGGTTGTCTTTGGGTGACGAAGTTTTTGATTGATTCAGTATCCATGTAATGGTGGCTACTCTCTGTAACAGAAAGAAAATATTCATTGGATTATGGAAATGATCAGGGAAGGGTGTAGAATGGGAGAGTTTGGAAGAAGTTTATCATTTGCATTGGTAAACGCAATGTTTTGAGGGCTAACAATTCGTTGGAAATTGAGGAGATACTCCTAAAAGTAAGAGTAGTATAAGTTACTAGCCGAAGTCAATCCTACTCTTTGCTTTGACAGTCCGAAAATGAGTTATTTGCACAGGTCAGAGGATATTTTCGTTGTTCATATCATTTATTAATTCTTTTATGAGAAAACGATAGTCCGCTTGAATTTACCTCATTCTCTTTTCGAGATACGAATGACGAAGCCTTAACTTAATGCCAACCCGAGAAAGGCAGGAAGTAAACAACAACAGAACATAGTATTTTTGATTATTTTTCTGATCTTCGAATCCTGATTAATGCATAAAATACTTTTTACGGTTCGACATCTACTGGTGAAAGCGTTTTAAAACATTCAGTTTTGCCGTGCTTGCGGGTTTAACATGAATATTTATATCTGTATTTAGCTTGTGTGTAGTGCTGTGAGGAAGTTCATGAAACATTTAAGTTAAGGCTCTGAAAACGAAAGCTTACACTCGAATTGACGATTAGTGAGTTGATTAGTCTATGCTCTTAAAAGCAGTGGGGATAGGTCCCTCTTTGGTACTCGTGAACGGAAGTATCGTATAAACAAATCCCTCACTTCTCACTTCTATGACTGATTAACACGTCTCAACTGGATGGTTGAACATCCAGGGTGGATGACATTGATTACTAATGAATTGAGTTTAGGTTCCGGAGTATTCGCAGGTAACCAATTTCAGGGTAGAACGCTCACAACGGTCCAGTTATATGCATATGTGTGAAGGGGAGATAATTAAAGTTGTATCGAACGCACGGGTTAGGAGACATCTCAGTTCAGGGATAAATCTGAATGTGATTTTTCATCTCGAGTGATTCAATTTCGTTTTCAATTCAATTCATTCTCTGTTAAAGATCAATACCACCCAGGTAAGAATTACCAAAGCTGACGATTGGGATAAGCTTGTATGAATTATGATTTGGTGAGGCTTCGCAGCTCAAGCCTGACACTGAGGAAAAAAATTAGTTTTGTTAAATATTCCTTTACCTGAGAGAAGCATTCATTCTTTAAAAATCGTATTTCTCCGTCATTCACAGGGGAGCCTGATTAGATTTCAATTATGACAATCATGTTGCTCTCGAGGATGACTAGGTTGCACATGACATACGCCAATGATTATTCATTTTTCCTAAATTTCTTATTTTCTACAGGGAAGAATTTCGATTAATTTTTTTATGGTTATACAGCGGTTTCTCCCTAACATTTCATCCATGATTGTCATGGTCGGGCTACAACCGACTTATCTGAATTTTTTCTTCTCAATTTTTGTACATCTAATTTTATCATCCTCTTCTTGATTTATATATGTTATTTATTTTTGAAACTCGTATTCTCTAAATATGTAATATTCTGTTAAATATCTAATGTGTTCTTTTGACCCTATAGTTGCCCTAGTTGGCCTGTGGGCTGTTGGTTCTGTATACAGTAATAAATAAAATACAATAAAATGAAAATAAACATTTCAGTCTCTGAGGGCAGAATTCAAGGAATTAAATGTTCGGGAAGCCCTGCTTACTCTTCCGATGGAAGCGGAGCTAGGAAAGAGATAAACAGAGAAAAAGAATCTGCCTGTTTCACTCTCACACGCCGAAAGTTAGTTTACTGCGCAGCCCCGTCCCGCAGAGGGACACACAGATTTACCCAAACACATTTACGTTGTCGATAGTGGGGGGAAGTCAACCTCTCCGACTGAAATGTTAGGGAACCGAAATGTTAGGGAGTAACCACTGTAATCATTGAAGGAGTTCCCTCAAGGTCATAACTAACATGATCATCTTCTAGAGCAATATAATTGTCATAATTTAAACCTAATGAGAATTGCCTGGAAATGTTTTGGTTGGTTTTGAGAAAATGAATACTCCTCTCAAGTGAATGGATATTTGGCAAAAATAATTTTTTTTCTCAGTCTAGTTCTCATTGTCGATATGGGGCTGAAATGAGAGTGATTCATAAAGCCATCTAAGAGGCTCAATTCAGGTCTAATGCAGGCTTTGAGCATTAAGGCTGAGTACGTCATGGCTCATGCAGGGGTTAACCACTCCTGACGAATAGAGTCTACGTGTACTTTCAAACCATTATCGTAATTGGTGGAATAATGACTATCAATTAATGATGGTGAAAACATTGTTATCCCCTCCACAAAGATAGTCATAAATATCCGTCACATCATCCCAGCTCAGCCCAAACCAGGCTCGTGGTAGCCCTTTGAGCAGGAGGTTGCATAATTATAATTAATTGTATGATGAATTTTGAATTAATTAATACATCGGATCGATTTTTTTGTTCAATTTGTAATAGTTTCATTCATCGATAAACAAAAGGACACCACGGTATATTTTTACACTTGAAAAATATATCTTGTCATAAGACGTTTCAGATAGCCTAGTGGAAGCGCGCTGGACTACGGATCCGAATGACCCCGGATGCCGAGTAGGAGCCATTTTGCGAATGTTCAATTTCATTGTATTTCAATTAGAGATGTGCGGATAATGATTCAGTACAAATAACTAATAGAAAATAATAATGATAATAATTTTTAAATCCATTGTTAGTTGATCAATCATCACAATTGACGCTTAACGGATTATCAACCGTTAGTAACAGTCCTACCCCAGTCATTTTGATGGAGTTCTTGAAATCACCAAAACGGCTAATAAAAGAATCAGAAATCATTCACAGAGATCCCTATAAATAATAATTTAATTAGTTGGAAAGAAGCACGATTGAGCTTTGAAAAATTTCTGAATTCAGGGCTTGGACCAGGCCTTTGCATTAAGTCTTGTTCCAGCCTTAGAGATTAAGCCTCAATTCAAATTATTATTCCGGGGTTGAATGAGGGCTGATTCAAGCTTCGGCTCCAGCCCTGATGGAGAATTTTCGAGCCTTGGTTTAAGGCTTAATGAGCCTAATTTACATTGTCAATTCCTACCTAGAAATCTCATACACGGTGGAGTCTCGTAGGCATTCATAGATAATTTATAGTTGTTACATCAGAGTTTTTTCAATTTATTTGTTTACATTTCGCCAGAAGTTATGAATCGCACGAGTTTCTCTTTTCGTTGGATCGTTTAATAGATACATAGAAAACAGTGGATTCTCTGATTGAGTCAGGGTTGACTGCCTCGGGTGATCGTCTTGGGTATTATTTGAAAAAGTTGACGAAGAATTGAACTGAGAATGATTCGCTTAGTTTTCTATTATCTCAGCTGGTAACTCATGAGGGAAAATGAAGACACGTAAAAGCTTTTTTCCATGTGTGAAAATAAATTTTGTTTAAATCAAAATAAAAGTCTAATTTTATAGAGATGACCAAAGAATATAATTAAATAATTTCTCTTCAGACTCCCCAAGGTAATTCGATTCCGGATTTTCTCATGCAGATTTTTTTCTGAATTTTGTATAACTTAATTAAGAAGAGTTTTGTCATTACTTTTGTGATAGAATCACCTGCAGGATGATATTCTCTCGACAAATTTTTTTCTTCTTTTTTCGTCATTTGGAGAGGAAACTTGATTATATCTTCGCACAGAGCTATATGAATTTTCAACATCAAACGACACGAAAAGATATATTTTTGGCTTCAATGTTAGGGGAAATTGAGATACAATTCTTTTTCATCATGCATGAATTACCTTTGAGGGTTTTTCTCAAATTAATTAGAACGAAAAAAACTCGCTCTTTTAATCTGGCGATTCTTCTGCAAGATTGAAAAGACGTATATGCAATGAAAAAGATTTAAGTGCTCGGGATTTGATTCGGGTGAACATTGACCATTAGCATTCTTCATGAGGAGGAAGGGTGAAATTTGCCTGCGCATTGCAGTCGTTCGTCTTCTCCTTTACCCAAATCGAGGAATGTGTTAATGATGGTTGATAAAACCTAATCTCAATTTATCTGTCAATAGGATGTTCTCATTTGTCGTTTTTCTTCAACTACACAGTATGAAACAAATTTAAAAAAACGAGTAACCTGAAAAAATTTAATTTTTCCATCATCTAATTGAGATAATCGAAAACAAATACCTAGTTTTATTCTATGGAATCTAATGAACATTTTGAAAAAAAAAGTTTAAATCGAATGAACATTGTACTGCGAGGAGCATTTCAAAGCCAAAAACACGAAAAACTACATTTTCGCCTGACGTACGGGGTAAAATGGGTGGGGTTCGAATTATTTTTTTAGTTTTTCAGGTACCCCATGATATATCAAAAGTCGCTGGATAGTTATTTCCATCAACCAAAGACTTTCAAAACTCCTCAAGGGATCATGACAACAAAATTAATGAAAATGTGTGATTAATAAGTGATTTTTTCCTACAAAAAATACTGTAATATTACTATAGTGTGATGTAGCATAATATTTGAAATTTCTTCCGATAATCAGTAAGATAAGAATTTTTCTTTCTATACCCAAAAAAAGTAGTGCGACTCGGAGTGCATCAATCCAGATTTCGGGCTTGGTGTTTCGAACCTTCTCAAGTAATTATGCCTGTTTGATTGAAGTTGAACTGAATTGCAGAACTTACTTGAATCAAGTTGAACTTGACCTAAATCTGGTCGCATTGCTGGTTTGCACATTTTTAAGTGAGGCTTTATTCAAGGCGTTGGAGAGTACTCACTCTCTGATTGAGTGACACTCTGATTTCGAAATGAGATCGGCTTCACATGATTTCCGGGTTGATGTCAGTGATTTCGAGACAGATTTCAGTGATTTCGGGAAGAAACCAAGTCGCTGACTTCAAGTGGATCGCGACATGATTTCGCGACTGCAATTGACTTCGAATGATTTCATAGATTCGAAATCAGTGATTTCAAAGGCAATGGAGTAATTGAAATCACGGTGAATGAA